CACCGCCCGGATTGGTTCGCCAAAGGGCGGTATACAAATAAACATTATATAAATAGTGTGTGTGTATATATATATGTTTGTGTCATACACTTGTCCCTCCACATTCACTGGGGTTAAGGGCACAGGGCTCCCGTGAATGTGGAAAAACTGCAAATAACAAAAACACTTATCTTTTTACCTGAGAACACCTCTCTAGAAATCTCTAGATTCCCAGAGCAACTCTGTGGTCAACATCTGCCAGGCACTGACCATAGAGTTGTGTTGGAGGAGCTACAAATGCCTAGTGGAGTCTTCTCTCTAGGAGTCTCTAGGTCAGCGGTTCTCAAATAGTGGGGCGCGCCCCCCAAGGGGGGCGCGAGGCTCCATAAAGGGGGGCGCGTTACGGCTGGAGAAAGGGAGATTGTCCCAGCGCGGCCCCAGTAGCTCTATTTTGATTGGCCAAACCCGCCCATGTGATCGCGCGGGGGGGCGCGAAATGTTTTCTTCTTGCCTAGGGGGGGGCGTGACAGAAAATAATGGAGAACCGCTGCTCTAGGTCTTTCAGTGTGACTTTGGGTTAAAGTTGACCACAGAGTTGGGCTGGAGGACCTAGATATTCCTAGAGATAACATTAATAAAATCTGTGAATAATGAAATACGTAAAAGTCAAAGCAGAAAATTTGGAGGAACAAGAACAACAAAACAACAACATAATAATAATTTAATTTTTATACCCCGCCTTTTGCTGCTTACATTTAAAATTAAATCAAAGCGGCTTACATTTAAAATTAGATTAAATAAAACTACTCAAAAATAATAAAACAATATTGACAAATAATGATAACCCCCCCCCATTAAAAATATATTAAATACAGATACAAATTTAAACATAAGATTAAAACAATAGGTACACTGGGGCGCAGTAATGATGTAAGAAGGATGTCTGACAGGAGAGAGACTAGGCAAATGGAGTGATCTATTCCGGGTAGGCCTGCGGAAAGAGATCTGTCTTGATGGCTTTTTTAAAGCCATCTAAGCTGGTTATCTGATGCAGATTATACGGAAGAAGGTGATCCCCTAGGTAAGTTGGACCCAGGCCATGAAGGGCTTTAAAAGTCATCACGAACACCTCGGGGTAGGCAAACTGTCCCCTTTAAGGGCCGAGGGACTTCAGCTCCCAGAATCCCAGACTATTGGCCAACATGGCTGAGGCTTCTGGGAGCTGAAGTCCCTGGGCCCTTAAAGGGGACAGTTTGCCTACCCCGTACTGTGCTCAGAAACCAATAGGCAGCCAGAGGAGAGATTTCAAAACGGCATAATATGATCACTCCTTGATGTTCCAGTGATCAACCTGGCTGCC